CAACATCCTGAACACCGAATGAAATGATGGTAACAGCTTGTGTGCCTTTTACCTGCTGAAGCTTGATAAAACGCTTCAGAAATCTGATCTTCAGCAACCTGACCTAAAGGGTTTTTTTAAAGATACCTATCTTTAATCTTCCTAGAGGAAGGCAGAAAGTCTCTTTTATTAACATTTTAACACAGTATATGCATATTTATTTTGTACAAATTACATTAGTATACAATTCACATAACAAGTGAAAACAAAAATGTCTCTTAATGCATCAAATAAAGCAGAAGCTAACAACTTTCAAAATGGAAAATATTAAGATAGGATAGGCTGTTTAAAAAACTCCATATAGGAGTTGTTGTGAACAGTTAATGTTGTTGAAATGAGAATATTTGAAAATACTTTATACACATGTATACATATTATCAGCTCTGCAAGCCATGCAGAATGTACTAGATAACAATTATCCTTTTCCTGGAATCAAGCAGGGAACTGTTTCATAACAAAGTCTTGTTATTAAGATTGGTATTTGGCAAACATTCCCTTGCTTTTTGAAAAAACAAGAGATTTTTTTTTCTGGTTCTAATCTTTATGTGAAGTAACTAGAAGGAAAATATAAAATGGGTAAGAGGGAGTTGTAATATTCTACTCTCACTTCACAGCTTTTTCATTTTTATAGATCTTTTAAGTACTAAATGAAGTGCAAGTATTCAAGTAGATCTGCAGCACTGTTTAAGCAGTGTGTGGCACAGAACTCTGAGACGCAGCAGAACCCAGAATCCCAGAACCGCCACATAAATCTGCAATGCCAAAACAGTTCAAAAGAAGGTTTAAATCTAACTGAAAGAAAGCTGTACTATAAGTCTGGAGGTATGAATGCTTTACCAGTTTCCTGACGCTGGTTTTTGCCTTCTTTAGAATATAAATTGGTCTAGCAAGCGAAAACTAAACAGCAATTTAAACTAAGCTTTGGGAGCTACTCCAAACTAGGCTGGTGGGGGATGAGGGGCAACTTACAAAGTCTTAAATTTCAGCCAAACTAATGACTCTGTAAGGCTTTAAACAGATTTTTTTTTTCATGTTCTAGCTAGAGATGATTGTATGATCGTGGAGAGATCATCCAATACATCCTTTTATCCTGTCTTTTTCACCACAGATAATTCAGATGTTTTTCAGAACAGCTCTCTTTACTTATCTGCTTTAGTCAAAAGCGTTAACAGTATAGTCTTGAAATGTAAATAACAGTAGGTGATATAAAGCAGGTCTGCTGTGAGCAAAGAGTACTTGTATGAATTTATTGGTTTGATGCTGCAAAAGTGCAAGCACCACACACACTGGCAGTCTGGAGCATCTTCCTTATCAGCAGCACCAGCAGTTTTTCCACAGCTCCCCGAACTCTTCTCCCCTACATTTTGTCTCTGAATCCACAGACCTAAGCTTTCTAAATTTTATCATCAAAGAGAGATTCCAAAAGAATATCAAGATTAGGAAGGATACAGGCAGCCTTCAACTGGCATTTTCCTATTAAAAGCTTCCCATACAAGTCTGAGAGAAGCAGCCCAATTTGATACCAGAGACACCACCACTGTTATCCCGTGCCTTCCACAATCCTAAGACAACTTACTGAACGATCTCTGCACCTTCTTCCTCTTCCCCTCCTATTTACATGCACACGTTCCTATACAAATAATAGATTTCGAAAAATACCAGGAAAGACTGTAAGAATTTTCTGGGTTTATTTTTGTTATCGTAGTGTTTCGTTCTCCTGAAGTGTACAACCCTTCATTATTTATTTTATCCTCCTTTCATCCCACTAAACATGCTGCTGGGCTGCACAGTTTTACACTTTCCTAGTGGCTCCTAACTCAGTGCCTCCAGTTGTCATGAATCAGTCTTCGTGCTTAATCCACTTCTTCCGACTGACAGCCTTACTTGGTTGTTTTTCCTCATTTCTGCTCCACCTTGAAGGTTGCTGATGACTACAGAAGCAGGTGGCAGAAATGAGGGGCAATAACTGCCCACCTCCCAGTGCCTCTAAGCTCCATAGGTTTCTTGAGATTCACAAATGCGTTCTGGCAAAAAGGGTTACTTCAGCATGAGTCCTCCAAAGGGGCAGGGCAGGAAAAAAAAGTCTGCCAACACTACTAAAAGCACTAATCATATAATGCTCCAAACTGGTAAGTTTAGAAATGGTTTGTTAGAAAGCAAACTAAATTCCCAGACAACTGCATTCTGATATGGAGAGACAGTGAGAACTTCCCAGAGAGTGTTTTTGTGGTCAAGATAATGCGCCCACTAAAAAGAGAGGTATGAACATGTTTGCATGAACTACTACAAAATAACACAAAAAACTTTACTCAAGATCTTTTAACCTCAGAAAAACATACAAAAATAATCAGAATCATTAAAACCAGCAGTTGACGTATTTTACTTACTTTAGCAGTAGAATTTTTTGCCACAATCATGTTGCAAACCAACAAAAATATTTTCTTTTATGCTACAAGACTTTTTCACCAATCTAAAAAAATTACCAGCTGCCAAAGACTTCCAAGGTAGGGTGTATAGATGAGGTTTCCATATAATTTAGTTTCAATTTCAAAGCTGAACCCACTACAAAATTCCAGATCCAGCCAGCTTTAAGAGGATAGGACAAGTGTGGCATTATTTCAATCTGTCTTTACACACTCCAATCTGCAATGATATACAAGAGCCACATTCCTTTAATATTAGGTCACTGACAAATGTTAAGCCTTGGGCTTCAAAACCTGACAAAACCTGTCGTGCTGAAACAATTGGTTACCTGCCCAGAACTGTAAGCATGAGAGATACAGTTTGCAAAGAGTGTTCATCCCCCTCTATCTAATCACATCTTTCCCCCTTCTTAAAATTATAACAATATTTGAATGCATTTTTTAAAAATACAAAGAACCCAAATTAAATCTAGTTTGAATATACACTGAATTTAATTATTGTATTGTATGAGAACGTGTATTTTAAACAACCCTGTTAAAACACGCACATGTTACAAAGCTGGATGATTTCCAGTGAGCCTTGTAATAAAAAAATATGTGGAGAATAAGCTGTTGTGCAGATTAGAAGCTCAAACTGCAATAAAATTAGAGTATGAAACAAAGATCACTTAAAAACACCATACACCTAAGTGTTACTCTTCTGTGTACAGAAAGTTACCTGAGCATGTAGAAAATGAATACACATTTATCACCTATTCTTTTTAGCACTTTTTAGCACTCTATTGCCTTAGCTAGAAGCAAGTCCAGAAACGAAACAGCAATCAAACTGCAGAGTATGCTAACACATACAGCTGGTTAAATAAGTATCAGTGCCTTAAAGGTCGGATAGCATCTTGTTTTGACTGCTAACAGTAAGACAAACCATTTACAATAAATCATCATTTATAATTTATGTACATTCATGTAAAAATGTGTACTATGGCAAGGAAGTGCAAGAAGAAAGAAAAAAAGCATCCTGGCTCAAGAGCCCAATCAGAGATGTTCAAGCAGTCTTTGTACTTGTGAAGTGTTACATTATTTTACTTTATCCAGAAGAAATTTTCACAGTTCTTATTTACAGGCTAAGAATAGAACCCCAGATTATGGACTGCATTTTTTCCCTTCCCCCAGACTATGGAATACAGATGAAGTTTAACAGTCCTGCTGCACAGGGAGAAAACCAGTGAAATCAGTGCATCCATTCTGACAGTTTGAAAAGTATGACTGACTGATTCTGTAATGGCTTGACCTTCTGCATACCTCTGCATACAAAATTATATGAGAGTTTTCATCTTTACTTGACATTTAAACAAGTATGGGGTGGAAAAAACATGTCTGATTGTAAGCAGTTCCGACAACTAAGATTTTTTCCATTTTTAAGTGGAATAACTGGCAGAAGAAAGTTGATTTGCACTTTGTATTATCATCCTTATTTGCATCTGCTTTCACCTTAATGAAAAAAAGCTTTATTCACTTCGACTTTTTCCACATTACATACTTTTCCCAGTCTGATATTTTCAGAAGTTTAAAATTAGTTCATATATTTCATCAAGACAGAATCATTACAACTGACTGAGAAATACTTGTAGCTCAAAATTTCAAACAAGGCTGCAGATGTTGGAGAACAGGGAGAAGGTGAGCTTTTAGTACTCCAATGAAAATTCACCAATTTTGGCCCAATTGCAACTCAGAAAAAAATAACCTTGCTTAAAAGCTTCAAAGTGTCTTTCTTCAACAGTGAATTTGGTTTTCAGAAACTGCCCCTTGGACTGACTGATTTTGCCCAGGACCAGGAGGCTGTAGAAGATTTTCCTTGTGTTTGCTGCTCCTTGTAGCTGGGACTGTCACTGGAACTCCAAAGCTATCAAGTATAAAGAGGCACATTTGTATGAAGCAGAGAACAGAAAGGAGTAAAGCCTGGAACAATCCAAAATTTCTCAGTCCAAGCATAGCTTCAAAGTTTAGCAGGTAACATACACTAAAAAGGCATGGGGGCAACCCACTGAGCCAGCTGACCTGACAAAGAAAAAACACCCAGTACACTTATGACTAGAATTATTGAATGTGTTTTTAAAAGCATCTTTTTAAGGAAATGTGTGTTTTGGTTAGACTGTGCAAACACACCAGTTCTTTTGGTGTATTCTTAGCTATTCCTGTATCGGTTTGTTTCACACAATATAGGTGTACGCTGTGTCTTGTAGAAGAGCTAATGAGCTTCCAAACAATCCCCAGGAAAAAGAAAAAACCAGCCTTTTTTTCCTCTCAGAATTAATTCACTTCAGGAATATTCACGCAGCCCTGCAACACTAGTCTCCTAACTTGATTTCTTCAGGAAAAAAAAAAGGTGGTAATGCATCAAAGATTAACCTGTAAAAACCACTGGTGAAGAAATCTAGTTCATCATCCAAAATTTTCAATCTTCTACTTTTGTAAGAAAATTAAACATTTATGGAAAAGGTTACCCATACTGAGAACTAAAAAATACTGCAATCTGCTTACCTTATCCTGGCTATGTGCTGCTGCACAGGGTGATGCTGGAAATGGTCAGGCCACTGATGGTGAAGGCAGAAGGATGGGGAGGGCTGAAGACAACAGGTAGGCTGATAGACGGGGTTGTGTTTTTGGCAAATAGATGCTGAATACTCAGTGTGTGGCTGCATGCAGCACGAAGTCATGGGAGATGGTGCTGAGCTGCCAACCACTGAATTACATTCTTGCTTGCTATTATGGCTACTTAAAGAATGATGGTATGGACAAGGGTGGCAGCACTGCGACAACATCTGCTGAGTTCTTTGGTTGTCTAAAGGCAGAAAGGACGGTTTGATTGTACCATTAAGCTGCAGGCAGCCGTTTGGACTTGGTTTTGTTCTTGGGGTTTCCTTGGATGGGAGTTGCTGGGCTGTGGCGTCTCCATCATTAGCTGCAACAATACCTGTGCCAGTGGCATTTGACAAGATGCTGCCATTGCTCAGAACCACAGAGTCACTGACGCTGCTCATGGCCATGCTCCGAGTCCTCGATGGGTCTGTGATGTTCCTGATGAAACAAACAGAGCCAAGTTAACAGAGCTGCAGGGTTTTCAGATGCTCAGAAATAACTATTCTAAAGTGAGTAAAGCTCTGCTCTCATCTTTGTTTTTCACAACACAGGGAAATAGAAAGGAGGCACACCCACATCGCCAGAGATGTTTTGAAGGGCTTAAATTGGTTCAACAATATGTTAAGAGTGAAGTTATGTAAATTTCTCAGTGATTAAACCAAACTAGAAGTCAAATGAATAGACAGTCCATGAATTTGACAGTGTCACAGCTGTGTCACAGCTAAGTAATGGCTGAGATGCACAGGAACAGGATCATTTTGCACAAGACTAAGTTATAGGCACTATTTATAAAAAGAGATTTTGGTATGAACTGTGTAACCATCCACACCTTGCACTGCAATTTGCCTGTGTGCTTTGAAAACCTGCAGGAGACAGGACCACACAGCAGAGATTGTTTAATAATCATTTATGTGCTGGCTTCAATAACCTTCTTTCCTATCTCCAATTTCTATTGAAAACGAGGCATATTCATGTTTTTAAAGACATTCTTTTGAAATACCTTATTTAAATAAATCAAGCCCCTTCAGCAGACATACCAAAATTTCTGAAAAGTAGACTAGCTCTTTAGCAGGAGCATTATGAATTCCAAAAAGATAGAACACAACCACATGTTTTTCCCAAGTTTACAAAAAAATAATTCCAAGATTGAAATATTGCTGACAGAGAAGCTCTTGCTTCCAAGAGACATGTATTCTAAAGGCAGTAAAGAAATGGACTGTGCTGTAAATAAAGGATATTAAAAGATTTTCTTATAAAGTTTCATCTTTTTCAAACAAAATGTAAATAAACGAGAACTATTAACACTGGAAAAGCGACTATGGCTCAAGATCAAAATTTGTGTGAGGTCCTCACTGCAGTCAATTTCTCCCATCTTAACTATAATCTTATTTTTGTAAAGTATTAAAATAAGTTGGAGATCATTATTTTGCTAAATAACATGAAAGGTCAAACATCACACTCAGATAGGAGTTTGTTACCCAAGTTAGATGGGCTGGATGAGGAAGGAGGAGACAGAGGAAGAGGAAGAAAGAACACTAATTATGTACTACTTAGAAGAATAAATCAACACTTCCTTAAAAACCAGAATCAGCTGATTACAAACTACTTTGGCTAACTTAATGTTACCTTTTTAATTCCAAATTTAATCAACAACATTCTAAGTTCAAATTGCAAGGTTTGCATTACAGACACTGAACTTTGCAGAAAGACACAACATACAGATTAAGGCAGATAAACAAGGAAGTTTCTAACTTATTTTCTTCCCTGATACCTTTGCTGAGAGCTTTGAGCTCTAAGCCTGCCCAGCCAGCTGAGCCATTTAATTGCCTGAATGCTAATTCTGAGCAAAAAGTGCTTTGACGACAGGAATGCTACCCCTGGCAGCCCCCCCGCACAGCATCTCCCCTAGACAGAGCTAAATCCTTCACTTGTGAGATGAAAATTAATCCTCTGCTATTTGTTCTAGATCATGTGCCGAGCCAGATGCCCTGGGAAATCACTTTCATTTAGATAACCGCTTAGAACAAGAGAATATGCTGCTTGACAAGCATATTTTTTCCAGCCTCCAATTCCACACATTCCTGACGGGTACCCCCTCCCCTGGCCCAGGCAAGTCAAGCCCATGGAGGACTTTCTCCTGAGCATAGAGAGTAAATTCAAGTGGCTGGCTGAACTTCATTTTCGTCTAAAGAGACATATTAGTTACGTGAAATACCGCTGTGTTTGAACAGTCTGTTTTTTCCTTGCACTGTAGGCAACTTCAAACCTCAGTGGACAGAGAGAGAGCTGGACATCAAGGCAGAGAAAGCTCCTCTCGAGCTGTCTGGCAGCATTTTAGGAATTTCTAGCTGCTTATTTTCACATTCACTCACACAAGAGATAGGCTGCACAGCGATGCTGCTACATTTCTGTTTCTAAATTAGTTTCACACGTCCATATTATCACTTGAAATGCTGTACACTGATCAAAGTTACTGTCTACTGCAATAACTGAAAATAAAGCCTGGAGATACTGCAAATATCCAGCCCTTCAAGAAGACAGACCCACCATCCTTTGGCTTTAGGTCCATAACACCTGCAGGGTGCAGCAATTGAGATACCAACACATTATTTTCAGTAGCTGTTTCAAATCACTTTATGAAGGAAACCACACATTTATGCACAAGGCAGACACGTTCCAAACAGAGATGCAAGCTGACTTGTGCCCACGGCAGCTGGGCAGTCCCAACACACACACACAGGCTTGGGCCCTTCAGTGTATCTGTGCCCCTTGTGAACACTGACATTGGAATTAATAACTTTTGTTCCAGACAGCCCAGCAGCTTCCATTTAATATGATCAAAGATAAAATGCTTGATTTTCAATGGATGTAATATCTACCCACATACCTTTTGTTTTAAACACTATCTTCAGAAAGACTTTTTAGAACTAGTAAATTCAAAGAAACGATCATCATCAGTATCACAACATATAATTCTATCTTTGTTCTTCTTTTGAACAAGCTATTATAAACCATTTCAAGCTGTAAAAATTTTAACAGATCAAGCTGATTCTTCCTTTATTCCTAAGCCCTGAGAAACTATTGAGTTCTGTCCACTTCCATGGAGTCTTTGAGCAAGGCAATGGAAGCACCTGCTTGCCTTGAAGTTCTTTCAATGCCATATTAAAGTAAAACAGACTACTTTGCATGCTAAGGTAGCCATCTGATTAAGTATTTCATTCAGTCATAGCTAAGGAGAACCGGGACTCAATTCTCTAGAATGTAAGCTGGGCTGTACATTTTCATTTGGTTCAGTAACTTTTCTTTTTTTAAAGAAATGCAAGACAGTTACGTAATTTGACAAGTTTAATGTCACCTGAGTTTGGTTTCATTCATGTTTATGGGTATCAAAAATTCTGTACGGTGGTACTTCATTTGTGTCATGCTCTATAGAAGTGACTGCAAATCCACTGACAGCAAAACTTCACCTGCAGCTGTCACACTAAAATATATTCTTCGATCACATTTTTATCTCTCTGTTGTATTTTGTCTCCTCTGTCACAACTGCAGTGACGGGGAACTTCCTGAGAGATGTAACAATGGCCCAAGGAAACAGCTGATCGAGAATCTTTCCTTTAGAGGACGAACAAATAAGCCAGTTAAAATGCAACAACTAAAAGCACAGTCAGATTTTAGTAAGAAGCGGGCATGGGAAATCAAAGAACATGTTCATCATGAAAAAAACCCTAAAAATAAGAATCTTTGATAATGCAGTCTTTGGGAAGTCTGTATTCAGACTGTATTTCAATGTTGAAGTTAATTTTTTCTGCATTCCTCAGACTGCTTCAGGATCTGGTATGCTCCAATAAGGCGGGGTTTTCACTTACGAGAATTTACATCTGAAAGCTCTGCAGCAGTTGGACAGGTATTCTGAATAATGAGGTTGTAGAAAACACAGTTTTTAATGCAGGCGGCCCTACTTAATAGAAGACTAAATACAGTTAGAAAAAGTGTTAACCTACATAAGTTTAATACATCCCATTTAGGTACCCACCTCTCTAGATGGACACAAGGTATTTTAAACAAGATCATCTCTTTAGAAATTATGCCAGCTGGACCGCTAAGGGAAGAAAACCAGAATCATCTTTAATAACTGGGTGCTTGGTAAGAGGAAGTGCTCAGAAAGCACTTCAGCCACGCAGTTCAAAACAACAGCTTGGAAGAGTGTTGTATCTGGAAAGTACCATGCTCTGCAAAGGCAACATTGCTTCATGACGGTTTTATGGAGTAATCCATCTATTATTTGTGGAGCTAACAATGAATGCAGCTTACCCAGCAGACGTCTGCCAACTGCATTGCAAGCCCTTGAGGAAATAAAGTAATGCTGCACCACACCGAAACTATGTAGGATTTGGTGCTGCCCAACCAGCGTGTTCGTTTTAGAGCTGGATTAAGTTCACCTGTTCCTTTGGCTGCAACGGAAAGAATTTTTCTTTGATTTAAGTTTCTTTTTAAAAAAAACAAAACACCAGACTTAAAACAACATTGGTTCAACAAATCCCATCTGGACTCATAATGCCTGCAATTGGGAATGATAGAAGTGCAAATCCAAGAGGGAATGACGTAGTGGAAACCTGGTATACTAATACAGATAATTTATAGATCTTTAGAAGATGACAAACAGCCAAGTGCTGAGGGTTGCTTTAACCATACAGGAAAAAAAAAAACCCAAACCAAAATCTGTACCTTGCACAAAACCAAAAGTAACCTGTTTTAAAACTTCACATTTTTCATTTAAGGTAGGACAAAACTCAAATTTCACTTAAAAGTTATCTAAAGCCTTTCAAGCTGTAGTCAGCATTGCACTACTCAGCCAGCTGGACCAGTCCAGATTTTATGGACTTTGCAGACCTGTCAGCTACAAAGCATCACGGTTCTGAGATGAACACGATGTGTGAAGTAACAAAAACATCTTTTTATGTTAAAATTTCATCTAAACCAGCTGGATTCTAGAAGTAGTGCATTTTTGAAATAAGCAACATTTAACAATCCCAGCACTACCTGTTAAGTCTTATCCTAGATGAAACGTTATAGTGGCCCTGTAGTCCCTTAAGACGCTAACATTTTCCAATGTGGCAAATAGGCTACGTGGTCTCTCAATCTGTAAGCTCAGTTAAATGCTCTCCAGATCTTGCCTGCTGGGCCAGCCAGCGCACAGCAACTCTCCAGGAGGGTTCTCTCCTCCTTCACATTACCAAAATTCTCTGTATCTTTGCTTTTTCTCAGGGCTCTCAGGAGTAACAGGTGGTGCCTGGTGTTTGATACTGGGCTTTATGGGAGACATCTAGTTATCTATCATTGCAATGGTCTTTAGCAAGTCAAACAGCTTTTTAATGTTTTATGGTTGTTGATCTCCATTTTGGCTCTCAGCTAGACATTTTTCAAATTCTCCAGCTCTT